TTATAGATGTCAGCCACCATGCCAGGCCTAGGAAGCTTTCCAAATGACAACACTGATTGAGAGAGGTGGTTTCTTAGAGTAGTCAGTGTTGTGGGCACTAAGGTCCATAGGTTTGGACTTCACTCTGACACTTGCTTGGCTGGCAGTTCTCGAACTTTATGATCTCAGGACCCCACTGTCAATATTTATCATCTTAGGAATGAAAATGAAGAAAAAATTCTAAATAACTCTTTTATTAATTTATTAAAAAATAACCCATGACATGTTTACAAAAGTAACATATTTTTAAGAAAAATGATTATATTTTCCCAAACAAAAACAAGTTAATGAGAAGAATGCCATTGTTTTACACTTTTGTAAAACTAGTTAACATAATAGAAGTCAGCTGGCTTCTCCTATCATCTGCATTCAGCCAGCTGTGATATCACATATATACACTCATGGGGGAATGGGGTGAAAGGGCAAATATATAACTTTTTAGTATTATTGTGAAAATAGTTTTGATATTATGGATCCACTAAAAGATTCTGAACTAAGAAAATCTTTTTTCCCTTTGGGCTTTTAAAAAATATATAAAAACAATTTTTTGTGGGTACCTAGTAGGTGTATGTATTTATTGGGTACATGAGATGTTTTGACACAGGCATGCAATGTGAAATAAGCACAATATGGAGAAAACCTTTGTATTTAAGGTATGACATTGAGCAATCTCCTAACCTTGATGGGCTTCAGTTTCCCCACTTATAAACTGGGTACTGTTAATAGTACCTACCTCATGGGGTTGTTAAAATTTAATGAGCTGATATATGTAAAGCACTTAAAGTGGTACAGAGTAGATGTTTAGTAAATATAAACTATTTTTCTTTCTTTTTGTTATTGTGATACTAAGTGGCAGCAAAACTCTTGTGAGAAATCGCAGAAACTCATTGAAACCTTATTCTGATTTTTCCTTCCTGTCTTCTCTTGTTCTGGTTGTGAAATGAAGCTTCAAATCTGAGTGCCAGTTGACAAATGCTTATATTTGTTGAATAAGTGTAGCTCGTAATGCTAGCCAGTTTGTGATGAGGAGGGTATGCTCTGCCAGATTCTCAGCTGTTCACAGTTGAATATGCCATAATTTCTCAGATTCTTTTTCTCTTCTTAATACCTGAAACTGTCTTTTCTTAGTGAGTGGAAGTTGGGTGGTAGAAGAGGTGTAGGATGAAGTGATTTGATAGTTCCAGGCTCTGCCCTGAGCCACAAAGCCCCAGTTCAGCTGCTTTCTGCCTCTTATTTTCTATACTGCAATTGTGAAATCAATTGATATCTTTGAGGAATGAAAGTCAGATACCATCATCAATGAGTTGAAGATTTGTGTTAGCTGCTCTGCTTAAAAAAAAAAAAATGAAACGAGTGTAATTTCCAATCTTGGCTTCACATTGGAATTACTTGGGAAAAATTTAAAGTGACCAAAACTTAGATCTTTCTCCCAGAGATACCGATTTAATTGGTCTGGGGTGTGGCTTGAGCATCAAGAGTTTTGATATCCTACTCTCTAAAGTCTCACTGGGCTATAACTGTAAAAGAAGGTCACATGTTAAATTTTTAAATTTTTTTTATCATTTGTAAAGTTTAACAAATCGATTAAAAAGTTTATAAATGTTCGCTTAAATTGTTATGAAATGAACACCCATGTACCATGACCCAGTGTGAGAAATAGAACATTTCCAAACATCCAAGAGCTCCCTTACTTTTCTTCATCAGCCCTCTTTTCCGATCCTCTAGAAGTAACCATTACCCTGCCATTTTATAGTTACTGTTTTTCTGTTTTATAATTTTACCATATGAGTAGGAGTTTCTAAACAACATAGGAATAGGTTTTCATACTTTTGCACTATTTTTAAATAGAATTATGCCTTTGTATATGGCTTCTTTTGCTCAATATTATATGTGTTTTTTATTCATGTTTTTGGGTATAGTTATAATTCCTTGCTTTTCATTATTCTGTAGTATTATATCAGTATATGACAATGTCTTTCTTTATCCCACACTTGAAGGATGTTTTGGTTGTTTTTGTTTGGGGACTACTCTAATCAGTGCTGCTATGAGTATTTTTATGTGTATCCCCCTGCACAAAGATAGACATTTTGTGGGCATATGTATCTAGAAGTAGAGTTGGACAAATTCACTCACCAGAAGGAAGATACAGAGGCTGAGCTGCAGTTTTGGTGGACTTTTGAGGGTAGATAGGAGTTGGAGACTGGGACCCTGTCACAACTGCTGTTCTGAGCTGGCACCCAGTACAGTTGCACTGCTCTGAACCAGGGAGTGTTGATGATCTACAGGAGGCAACTGACAGAGTGAGCTGTGCCTTCAGTAGTTTCCTGGGCCGAAGGGAGAAGGTTCAGTGCCCATCACAGGTAGAGATCATGGTGAAACCCTTCCTGTTCTGGGCTGGTATCCAAAGGCAGCTGCCCAGCAATGGGGTAACAGACTCTGTCATAGCAGGACACTTGGCTAGCCCAGAAAATATCAGGCCTTCATCAAATATGAGGAAAATATCATACCATCCTCAGTAGCTGATAGAAGGAAATAAACATAAGGTCTAGAGGAGGAGAACATTATCCTAGGCCTTGAGATAATTATGAAGTTCTAATTCTTTTCTTGATCTTGACAGATCATTCTCCACTGTCTTGTTAGTTCACCGATACTTTGATGAAGATGCTTTTGTTTTTTCTCAGCTTTTTTCATTATCTTCTTCAGAAAGTTTGGTATAAATCAATTATTATGGCACGTACCCCCTATCCTTTATGATAAATTCAGGCTTGTTTCAGATCTGCTAAATACCCAAGGGGGTTCCAGGGAGTGCCAGCCAGCTTTTCCAGCCTGTTCTCATGGATGCCTAACTAGTGGACTACTGCCTTGCCCTTCTGCAGGTTCTTTCTTGCCACACTGAGTGCATTATCTTTCGGGTGGCTGCTGCTATCTTGCACCACTTTGCTCCTAGCATGGACCTAGGCTGTGGTACCTTGGAACTGGTCCATACTGATTCAGAAGCACTGACTGTTAAATTTTCAGGAATTTTATGAGCCATTGGTTAAATATAGCCATTATTAAAAATTATATAAATTTATAATTTAAATGATATTAAAAACAAAAGACAGTTAATATACTAAAAACTAATCCCTTTCTAATTATTTTCCCATGTTTTACTATTTATGCTCTTGAGGTTATATTGGTCTGTATGGTAGAAATACTGTATAATGGTGAGTACATCTCACTTCCACATTCAGTGGCATCACTGCTTGAAATCAGTCATGGAGGAATATTTACACTATGGAAATTGGCAAATGCTACAAATCAAAGCTTTTTTTTTTTAAGAGCCTGTTGTTAAACGTTTATCAGCATGTCATTGGACATAGTCCCCGTTTCTAAGTCCTTACAGCTGAATTCGGACCAGATGATGAAAATAAAAGGAATCAGAGAGTAACAAAGGGAAATTACCATGCAGAGAACTTAAAATCTGTTATTAGAAATAGTTATTTTGAGTCATAAGCTTTTCCACTTCACCACTGCCTTCAGTTTCTTTTCTGCATAGTATCCAGAGTGATCCTGTTAAAATGTAAATAAGACCAGGTTGCTGCTTTGCTTAAAGTCCTCTAATGCTTCTGTGGCACAATAAGAGTGTCTTCTACTTTCACTTATGTAATAAGCCATGTTTGGCTACACAGGATTGTTCTTCTTACTTCCTGACATCCATTATTCTTCCTACCGGTCACTCTGCTCTTCCCAACTGGGCCACCTTGCTGTTCTCTTAGCATAGTGGTTGCTTTCTTCCCTTAGGGTTGTTTCATGGGACCTGCTGGCAGTATGGAATGTTGCAAGTCCCAGCATTCCCAGCTGTTTCAGAAAGCTGCATATTAGATCCATTTCCTTCAGATCTTATCTCAAATTCCCTTCAGTGAGATTTTATTCAATCCTATATTAACAATGACAGCCTTCCCACATTCCCTATCCCCTTTCCTCTCTAGCACTTACTACCTTCTAACTAATTTACTTACTCAGTCCTACTCTCTGTAAATTTGATGTTGTTTATTCTCTTTCCCCTCTCTGCATTAGAACATAAATTTCATGAGGAATTTTTATTTGATTGATCATGCTGAATTATTGGCTAGAACCTAATACCTGGCACATAGTGGTTTATCAACAACTATTGAATGAATGAATAAATGAATGAATGCTAGAGTGATAGAAGGGGCATTGGTTAGGAGCTGGAGACCTGGATTTTAATTTTTGCTTTTGCCAATAATAAGCTCTGTAACTGAAAGATCCTGTTTCCACATCTTTGTGTACTCATTAGCAAAATGGGGATATAGGCCTGCTCCACATGCCTCATTGACTTTTAGTAAGGCCCATGCAGGGACGTCGTGTGTAACTTACTCTATACAGGTATGAGAGGATGTATTTATTGTTTTCCTTGCTTATGCCCAGTACAGTGAGCACCTAGCTTCATGCCCATCTTACTTTAAACCACTCTCCCACAAAACCCTCTCCATTTTAACACAGGATAGAAATAACAGGCTCATTACTCTATTTCTTTCTGAAGATTTTAGTGAATCCTTTTTTACCACTTAGATAATTGGGCTCATTATAAGCCATTGAAAACCTGGACAATGAAATGGCAACCCACAAGGTCCGAAGCCTCATGTGTGTCCTGCAGTGTGTTAGGGGTACTGCGTGTATTATTTTGTCTTCACTGCCACACTGCAGGAAGGGTATACATCACTTTAGAGATAAAGAAATTAGGGTTTGGAGAGGCCTAGTATCCTATTAAGGCAGCAGAGCTGGTAAGAGGCAGGTCTAGGAAGGAACTCACATTTGTCTGATTCCAAAAGCCAACTCCCACCCACCTCAGAAAACCTGGCTATTTAAACTAAATGTGAATACTTTCACTACCTAAACAGTAATATTTTCACTGCTGTGGATGATGTTCCTCACTTGTATGTTATATTTCTTTTCAGACTGTTTATGACCAGTGGTTCATCACCCTTTTTAACATTGTTTACACATCACTGCCTGTTTTAGCCATGGGGATTTTTGACCAGGTACGTTTATTTTCCATCTTTATAACTTAGTTTCTCTTTTGTGCCTTTTAGTTTCTTCTGAGTTCTAAGTAGAAGATACAATTCTAAGCAGAAACCCTAGGAATGCAGTTTTTTCTGTTGGCGTTGCGTGGATTCCAAATGCATCCAGGTCCACTATGACTTCCTCACCCCGTACCCTAGCTTCCCCAAAAGCATTATTTGGTAAAGGTTGGCTGCTCCCTCTTAGAGATTCACATCCCATACATTGCTCTAAAGGCTCTGGAAGTCCTATAGGAAGTAGTCTGTTTAACTTCATTTTTAACCCAGCATTTCCCAAACTTCCATGACTATAGTTTTTTTTGTTTTCATATAGGACTTATTAATTTTATGTTTCAGAACTAGTTTCTGTGGTTCACACACTGGGAAATGCTGCCTTAGCCTCTGAGAGCTTGTAAGGAACCATGCAGTGATAGAAAATCATGGAACTAGGTTGGTGCACAGGGGCTAGCATCTGCAGTGAGACTTCCTTGTTACACACAGCCCAGAACAGGAACCACTGACCAGCAGAGAGGTCTGCCAGTGAGAGAGGAGGACGAGAAGGCCCATAAGCCCCATAAGCCCCATGGCCACGGAAAGAAACAGCATAGATTTCTTTTGTCCAGCATCAGTGTGCTTGAGTGGGGAGAAAGAAGAGGATCAATTACAAAAATTGTTGATCCTTGGCATACTCAGAGCCTTGGAAGGGACTTCCTGGAAAGGGGAAAAAAAATCTGGCTGCTTGTGGGGAAGTGAAAGACTAGCCAGTGGAGTTTCCATGGCACAATTAGAGTGTCTTATGTTTAAAAAAGCTCTTTGTTTTTTTAAAAAGTATTTTTAAGGAGACCAGATTTTCTCCAGGCTGTTGTTAAACCCATTTGTTAGGCCTCATTTTCTGGGCCAAAGCCGTCTATTGCAAAATATAAATCTTCACATTATGAGCTCACTCCAGTCTCCCATTCGGCTGGCTTTGTAGTCAGTTGTAAGTCTCCCTTCTCATATGTAAAAAGGGCAGTTTGTAAAAGGCATATTTTGTGGAATTCTACAAAAAGTAATGAACTTCTGAAGACCTTAGATGTAAAGAATTAAACGCATTCATTTCTCAGTACCCATGTTTACAAGTGTTTCTTTTCTTGGAGCTTTGTAGCTGCCCAGAATGTGGAATAAAATAATAAAAATAAAGCAGTTTCTGGGAAAAGATGGTTATTGTGCAATTCAAAAAAAATATAATAAGGCTTCCTATTACCATCAAGTTGAGTGTCTGTCCTCTCTTTTCCTGCTTTGTCAACCTTGGCCCTTAAACTGATCACAGGATTGTGGAATGCTGTGCTAGATGGACCTCAGCAATCATCCACAGATCTGCTCATTTTCTAAGTCAGAAACCAAGCCTTGGAGAGTCATTTTCCTAAAGCCACACAGCCAATAAGTGGCACAGCTAAGCCTGGAACCAGGCCTGTTAACTTTGGGGTTGCTATGTTATTACTGTTGTTGTTGTTATTATCATTATTTTATTAATTGTTATTTATAGAAGCATCTGGCACATTTATGATGTGGCAAGAACTCTACTAAATACTTTATATACTAATTTAAACATGGCAGTGGTTCCATGAGGGAGGTGTTACTATTTGCATTTCTGGGCATGGGGAAACTGAGGTTCAGACGGATGAAGTAACAGGTCTAAGACTACACACCAGCTAAACCCGTTACCAGGGAGTGAGCTCATGACTGTCTTGTTTCAAAGCTTGTGCACATAGCCCTCAGTCACTGAACTAGGGGAACAAGCACCCAAAAATACCTCAAAACGACTTTCTAAAGAGAATATGCTAGTGTTTTTCCATGGAACTCTGGAGAGACCCAGGCCATCCCACAAGCAGGAAGGGGAATGTTCTCCCAGGAGTTCACCACTTGTGTTGCTTCCACTTTGGCTGCTTCTCCTCCACCCATGGTCCACTGATGTCCCTGGTGGTTGATTTTGGTTTTTGACATTTGGCTTTGGTGCTCACTGTGGTTATCAGCACTATTTTGGAGCTGGCTGGAAATGCAGTCTTGGGCCCTCAGCCCTATTGAATCATAATCTGTTTCCCAGGCAATTTGTGTGCACATTAGGTTTGAGAAGCATTTAGTTTCTCTCAGGACCTGGTTAGTGTCAAATGTGCCACCTTCTCATCCTGTCTAAATTCTTTGTTCTGAACACCTGGTAACTGCTGTTAAAATTCTAACTGGAGATGATCCTCAGCCCTCAGTCTCAGCCTCCTCCTTAGTTGGAATCCCAGACGCAGTTTCCCCTTTTCCCTGGTCTTCCTCTGGTTCCCCTCCCTCAAAGTCACTGATTTGACAATTCTGACTCCACAGCTCTCTGCTGTCATCTCCTGGTCACTACCACTCACTATCTTGGCAATTAACTTCTGGGGCCCATTGTCTGCACATGATGTGCTGGAATTCTGGGACCATGAATTTAGTCTAACAGCCTGCAGGAGAGTGTAGGAAAGAAACTTCAATTTGAAGCCAAATAGCTAGGCTCAGATGAAGCCCTGGTTCTGCTACTTACGAGCTGTGTGACCTCTCATGAATCTCTCTTGGAGACTCAAGCTCCTTCTCTGTAAAGTAGAGATCATTTTATTATCTTCTGGTTTATTGTGGTAATGCAAACAAGATAATGTCCCGTTCTGGTCCAGTGAGTAGTGCATATTAGGACATGGTTAAACAGGCATTTGCTATTTCCGAAGACAGGGAATACAAGCCCTCTCTGACTCTTTTTATTCCTTCTCCACTGAAATTACACTCTGTTTACAGGATGTGAGTGACCAGAACAGCATGGACTGTCCCCAGCTCTACAGACCAGGACAGCTGAATCTACTTTTTAACAAGCGTAGATTTTTCATTTGTGTGTTGCATGGAATCTACACCTCATTTGTCCTTTTCTTCATCCCCTATGGGGCCTTTTACAACGTGGCTGGAGAAGATGGGCAACATATTTCTGACTACCAGTCCTTTGCAGTTACCATGGCCACATCTTTGGTCATTGTGGTCAGTGTGCAGGTAACCATATTGGTGTAAGCATCTTAACTTGATGGGTTTACAACTTAAAAAATTCTATTTCATTGTTGGCTGATTTTGCCTACTTGTTAGGGGAAAATAATCCTAAAGGAATACTGGGGTTTTCTTTCTAACTACACATCTTGGGGTGACAACAGGAAACTTTAACATAAATTACCAGATGTGGAGAGTTAACACCAGGTGTTTATAATATCCATGTTAGTCGAAACCTTACAATTTATCACTTCTGGGTGTGCGTTGTATGTAAAGATAAATGATTATACTATTATTTCCTTCTTGTATTTGAAGAAGAAAATTCCAGTAAGGAAAAGAGAAACTTGCCTATGATTTTGTTAAGACTTAATATTTTCTAGGTTTTAAAGTGAGATCTAAAGCTTGGTTGGCAATACATTTCTATGGAATTATTCAAGAGATTCAATGCTGTATCTGTGACATATTTGAATCTCACATTCAGAGGACCTCTTCTGGTGGGGATGATTTTTTGAGGCTTCATTGACCTTCCTCCATCTTGAGTTGTGTGTCTATTTCCTTTTTAATGCAAGTGATGGTCAATGCCATTAGATACCGAGTTAGAGTTCATAAAACTTTTATTTTTATTTTTTGAGGGGAGGATTGCTATGTTGCCCAAGCTTGTTTGGAACTCCTGAGCTTAAGCAATTGTTCGCCTTGGCCTTCCAAGTAGCTGAGATTACAGGCGTGCATCACCACACATAGTTACAAAAATTTTTCCTCTATCACTATCTGTAGCTCTTAGGAGGTACAACAAGCTACGTGACCTCTGTTTTATTTTGTTGTCTTTTGATTACTGAGCCAACTGTTAATAATTAGGTGATCTCCTCTTTGTCATGAGGGTACATTTCCAATTCTCTGGATTCTCTTTCCGTAGAGAGGACAGTGGTGGGATGTACAGGGACATCTTTTTAGTGGTAACAGCTTATTCACCTCCAGCTCAGACCTGTTACTTGGTAGTCCAAGATTATTTGAAAGGTAGTAACTGAAATAAAAGGCCACTCTCTGAAGAAGAAGCAAATAGAAAGCATTCTTCATACTGTCCTTAACATGATCTGTTTATAAGTAAGAGTAATAAATTATCTGGAAGAGTCATTATAGGTATGATATGTGGCAAGCATTAATTGTTTGTGTGTATGTGTGTCTGTGTGCATGTGTGTATACATGGGGGTGTGTGTGTGTGCGAGAGAGAGAAACTGGTGTTCACAGTTAGCCCTGCAATTTTTGGTTAACTTAATATTTCTACTTTTAAAAAAAGCATGCTCTTATGCCCATGCATCTTTTTCTCTTTTTTCTTTTGCTTGGCCATAATTTGTTTTATGTGCTATTACAGTAGAGCCCGTGCCATGTTTTTATATTAACTTTATGTTTAGAAGCTGTTTTTCTCATAAAACATACAGTTCTCATTTTAGTTGGATGTTGAATTTACACTTCTACTTTCTCACAAGTTGGGAGGCCACAGAAACAATCATATTTTAAAAACATTTAATCACAAAAAAAATTACAGAATTTCAAAAGTTTATTTTAAAATCTTCAAGTGACAAGAAGAAGTAACTTGAAGTTTTTAAAATAAAGATTTGAAATTTCTTACCCTTGATTATCCAGGTTTTATAAGAATGATATAGAATGATATCCATGCTTTTTCAGAGGAGATTTACACTTAGGCTCAACGTGACCATTGGCCTCTCGTTCAGGATGTTTTGCAAGAAGATATCTAAATCCATTTGCTTCAGACCTTAATGGACATTTGTCTCTTCAAAATCCATTACCTGCCTTCCATCTCCTCAAGGACAGTGGTGGTCTGACCCATCCCTCCAATCCCATTACTCACAACACTCCAGCCACACTGGCCTTTGTTCTGCTCCTGGAATTCACCAGTCTCCTGCCTGCTTTATGCCTTTGCTCTTTCCTGCCTGGAACATTGTTCCCTCAGATTCCCTCACATAACATTTCGTCAGAGGAGCCTCCCTTGATCTATTTAAACTAAGGCCCCTTTATTTTCTCTAATGGAATAGAAATCAAGTATTTTATCTCATAGCTGTCATCTCCCCTTGTATGCACAAATTTAGTTGTGTGTTCCCTCATTTAATGTCTTTCTACCTCCTAGACTGTACTTTTCATGTAGATGGTGGAAATGTCTATTAATCACTGTATACCTAGAGCTGAGCACATCACCTGTTGGTGTGACAGACACACAATTGATATTTCTTGAGTATTGGATAAATGAGGGAGATGTTAAGAGGAAATTCTCCCACTACTGATACTGTCATAACAAGAGAGTTCATCTGGGTTTGTCAAGTTCCTAGGAAAGAATCATCATAACTGATGTGTTTACAGATTGTGTCGACAGTTTTCGAATGTGCCTAGAGTTTCCAACCAGTCTGAGGAGGGTCCTCCTGTGCTGAGTCCAGCAGAATGACCCAGCTGTGAAATGTGTGGGGAAAAGTGAGACATTTTAGATGCCTTCAAAAGCAAGGCAGTGCAGGAAAAGTCAAGTACCGCATGGCTTCAGAAGGTGGGATGTGCTGTGGTCGCCATACCTCCTGCAGCCAGGCAGAAACTTAGGCTATGCATGCACCTGTGGTGCCTCTACCCTAAAAGCACAAAATCCTTTTAATTTTATTTTTATTATAAAAGAAATACATTGCATGAAATTCAGGAAAAATATAAAAGTATAGAGAAAAATTAAAATTCACACATAATCCCAAATCAGGGTTAGCATGAAAAAAATGGAAATTAGATTATATATGATTTTGTCTTATTTTTTCACACAACTTTGTATCATAAGCATTTATCTTGTTTATAAAATATTTTTTGAAATATCCCTGTAAATGGCTGTGGTATTCCACCATATGAATGTGCCATAATTTATTCAACCATTTGCTGTTAAGAGTGCTTCTACATTTCACTATGGCAAATTGTACAAAGGGGAAACTTTCATATAGTACATAATTCTCAGCATGATCCTCTGGTTACTTTCTAAGGAGTTATTTCACTAAAGCAGGGAATTCTGGGCTAGAAAATATAAGGAAGTTTAAGGTTCTTGACACATATTGCCAAATAGCTTTCCAAATAGATTGTATTATTTTCAGCTAAAGGGTGCAAATTACCCTTCTCAGCACCCCATCACTGATTTAGAGTATTACTTTGAAGTATTTTATAATTAAAAAATTGATAACCTTTTGTTGCCTGGGAAATAATAAATACATGCTATTCAAACCGGAATAATTTCTTTAAAAACTTTAAATTTTGAAATAATTTTAAATCTATAGAAGAGTTGCAGAGACTACAAAGACAGTTCCTGCATACTGTCACCTAGACTTTCTCTGATGTTAATGTTAACATCTTACCTCACCATGGTACATCTGTTAAAACTATGAAATTAGCATTGGTATAATACTATTAACTGAGCTGTGGATTTCATTCAGATTTCTCCAGTTTTTTCATTAATTGCCTTTTTCTCTTCTAGGATCCATTTCAGGATCCCACATTAATTTAGTGGTCATATTCCTTAGTCTCCTCCCATCTCTCACAGTTCTATAGTCTTTGCTTGTCTTCCATAACCTTGACACTTTTGAAGACTGGTCTTCAGATATTTTGTAGAATGTTTCTCAGTTTGGGTTTTCTGATTTTTTTTCTTAGGAATAGACTGAGGTGTGGTGGATTTGGGGGAAGAATCACAAAGAGGTGATGTGTTCTTGTCTTATCCTGTCAGGGAGCACGTGATTGCAACATAATTTATAAAGGTGATGCTAATCTTGGCCACTCAATTACAATGGTGTTTTTCGGGTTTCTCCACTATAAACGGATTATATTTCCCTTTCCATACTCTGTTCCCTAAAAGTAAGTCACTAAGTCCAACCCACATTCAAGGGTAGGAGAATTAACCTTTACCTCCTATAGCAAGGAGTATCAAATAATTAGTGATTAGATGTTAAAAGCTTAACAGGTATAATTTTAAATAAAATGGCTCTAACAAACAGGGGTCCCAAAGGTAAAGGGATTTACCCAAGAGCACACAGTGACAACACTGCAGGTTTAGCACTAAGATCCAACAGTCTGATTTCCCAAGGTGATGTTCTTTAATAAAGACATTTGTGATTATTTTATTAAAGATTTGAAGCAAGCATTTCTTTTTTTTTCCCTTCATTTATATTTATTTATTTGTTTATTTTAGTCTTCTGGCTATGACATTCCAGCTCACTGCAGCCTAGAATTCCTGAGCTCAAGGGATCCTACCACCTCAGCTCCCAAGCAGCCAGGACTGTAGGTCCCATGCTACCACACCTGGCTAGGTTTTTAATTTTTTTTGTAGAGGTGGTAGTTCAGCCTGTTGCCCGGGCTGGTTTTGAACTCCCGGCCTCAAGAGATCCTCCCGCCTTGACCTCCCAAAGTGCTGGGATTATAGGTGTGAGCCACTGTGACCAGCCTGATGGGTAAGATAGAACAGATGGTTTACTGAGGAGACAGGACCTGCCTATAGCACAGTGAAGGTCATACTGAAGTCTTGAGGCCCAAAGAGAATTCAGAAATCGGATCCTGGGCCAGCCAGGCCCCAAGGAGGTGTCAGGGAAGGAAGGCAAGACCTTGCAAAGTAGCGGATTGTTTCCCTGAATGCGTGATTGGCTAAATCTTGGGACTGGGAAAGTTTTTTTCTGTGCTCTTCTGAGCCCAACTTTTGGGAGCCCACACCTTGTTTTGAAAGGGTTTGGTCTGTGAAACTAGACATCTTTCAGTAATGATTTAAGTTACTGAGAAAACTGGGGGCCCTGGAGTGAAAGGAAGAGACTAAAGGGAAAGAAATCCATGTAGCAGTCTTGTTCTGTTTGATGTGGCAGACAGCAGGCAATAATGGAAGAGTGCTGGAGATGGAGATGGAGGGTGGTTGGATTCCGCCATCCTCAGCCACGTCTGCTGTTTGGACTTGCAGACTTCAAACACAGCTGGGGGATTCCTAATTGGAACCAAGTTAA